AGCAGGGGTATTCTGTATTCCAGCTACGTCAGTGCCTTCCGAGAGGGTATTCAGTACAGCGGGTGACATTGTTACGGCAATTTACATTGCCGTGCTTCTGTTTCTCAAGAAAAACATGAGAAATTAAATCATGTCATATAATACAATATATGATGATATTAAAACCATCAAATTGTTACTATATCATGCATGGTATACACTTCCCAATACGTATTGGAAAATATTGCAATATGGTTTTGTCATATTGCAATATATTGCAATACGGTTTTTGGTCACAATACTCACCCCTAGCCTCTTAGCTCTAGTACTATAGCCCGCAGACAGTGACTGCCGCAGGGCTATAGAACATCTTGAACTAGATTTCGCAGTTGCACCAGCTCCCCAAAGTTCCCACGAAAAATCGCTCACAAAACGCAAAATGATCGGGCTTTTTAACACTTATCTATCTACGTGGACATCTCACCTATCTTTTTGAACACTTTCCACAACTACACCATGTATTTATGCAGTTATTTCTCACAAGTCAGCACTACTGGCAATTCCTTTTGAAATGATGTGGTGTGCGCACGCGTGACGTCACCGGATATGTAGGCAAAACGCATGGCAGCTATGGTGCAGCCTATTAAATTTCGGGTGATGTCACGCATGTTCACAACAGCATTTGAAAACGAAACACAAGTAGTGCTAGCACTTTGAGGAATAAATGCATAAATACATGGTGTAAAGTTGTGGAAAGTGTTCAAAAAGATAGGTGAGATGTCCACGTAAATAGATAAGTGTTAAAAAGCTCGATCATTTTGCGTTTTGTGAGCGATTTTTTGTGGAAACTTTGGGGAGCTGGTGCAGCTGTGAAATCTAGTTCAAGATTTTCTATAGCCCTGCGGCAGTCACTGTACGCGGGCTATAGTACTAGAGCTAGCTGCCGCTGCACACTGATGCATAAATATATAGCAGGTAGGAAAGCGTGCTGCCAAAATTCGCTCGACGTTCGCTTGATTTCATACGAATACAACACAAATATTCAACCATTCTACTCCATCTTTGTTTCTATTTGAAGAACAGTGTTCACTTGTTATAAAAACATAGTGTTTGTGTTCATAACCAAGCTGTGTCACGCGAATTAAATCACAAAGCCTGACGGAATTCTCGCGTTCGCTCCCGTTGCGCAGTTTATGTAAATGGCTGCAAGTACAGGGCTATAGGCGGCGCACTGCATTTTGGGAAACTACCACGCTGCTTTCCAACTCCCGTACGAGCCTCGTCAAAGCTGCCAGTGGAGCGTTGCAAAAACGTTGCGGCGCAAAAATGACATCACGAAGAGCGCCGGTGGGTGTTTCCTGATTCCGATAGCCTGGTTACGAACACAGACAGTGTGTTTTTAGCTCATCTGACATAGTCAGATGCAGCTTGTAGAATCGCATGATCGTCCGTCCGTGCGTCCGTCCGTTCGTCCGTCAACAGTTGGGCACAAATCTTAACCGCTCGACGTACGGTCACGATATTCGGGTCGTTGGGGGGGATCGTCAAAACGAGTTGGGATGTCGAAGCTGGGGGTCAAAGGTCAAAGGTCAAGAGGTGTAAAGGAAGGGGGAACATTCACTCCTTAACTTAAGGTATAGGGAGGAAATCGGCTCTTTTCGGCACGACTTTTTCGGCCTATCGGTTTCGGGTATGCTGTCACGGAAAGGTCCAGTAGGCCGAAAAGGTCTGTGGCCGAAAGTCCTTACGATTTAATGGGTCAATGTTGACTGTGGCTCTATCCGAGCGGTACTTCATAACTACGCAACCCATGCAGCTTGATTGGCAAGTTTTCATGCTGCCATATTCTGATTGCCTTTCGACTTCTCTCTCTCTCTCTCTCTCTTCTCTTCTCTCTCTCTCTCTTCTTCTCTCTCTCTCTTCTCTCTCTCTCTCTCTCTCTCCTCCTCGTTTCTCTCTCTCTCTCTCTCTCTCTCTCTTCTCTCTCTCCTCTCTCTCTCTCTCATCTCATCTCTCTCTTCTCTCTCTGCTCTCTCTCTCGTCTCTCTCTCTCTCATCTCTTCTCTCTCTCTCTCTCTCTGTCTCTCCTCTCTCCTCTTCTCTCTACCTCTCTCTTCTCTCGGGTCTCTCTCTCTCTCCTCTCTCTCTCGTCTCTCTCTCTTCTCTCTCCCTCTTGAACTATAGCTGGTGAAACTCTATCTCATGTTCACTCTCAATCATTTGAGATTTTTGTGCCATTCCGTTGAGTGCGTAGTTTGTGATTAAATGGAATCGATCTCACAATGTCTGTGTGAGACATGTTCAAAAATCTTAGTAAAGTCAGCTTAGAAATTGTGTGTAAATCCATACTACAAGTGACTTTTTTTAACACCAGTGAGGGACTGAAGGGGTCTTATGTTCTCCGGCTCGGGCCAGGCGGCGGGGGTTATGCCCGGAAACGGTTACCCTGCTCCGGGTACTAGCGGTCCGGACCATGTATATAGTCCGGAGTCCCTTGGCGGTACTATAGTTATTATGCCGGACCGGTACCTCGCCTACTCCACTAACGAGTTTAGTGAGTCGCTTACGCCTATCCCTAACCGCTAACCGTAAGCCTGAATCTAATCTGAACCTGATCAATAGTATAGTGATCCTGGGATACGTTCCGCGGTATAGAGGGCGGAGCGTAGCGTGGGTGTTGGATGTGCGGGGGCGCAGTACGCTGGGGCGGTGGGGGAACATAGACCTTGGAGCCCTGACGATCTTGCGCGGGGGTGGGTGGGTTCCGGCGGCCGAAGCGCGGGGGTGGCGGAACGCGCCGGCCTCGCCGCCCGCTTGGTTTGGGATCGGAGAGGAGCGGGTGCGGGCTGTTTGAAAGAGAGGGGAGTGTGCGGTGGTGCCTGAGTGTTGAGAGTTGGAGGGGCGGGGTGTTAATCTGCTGTCAATTGAGGCAGTTTGTGGGCTGTCCAGAAGCTTTGAGCTGTGCATCGATAGGGCGCCATAAATCCAACATGGTCGTTATTGGTTGTGTTTCGGCTTCGGCACGGGTCCTTTTCATTGTAGAAAATATTTTTTTGTTTTCGTGTTGTTCATCGGCCTGCTTAATTTCGCAGTTATCGCGACCCATAGTATGGGGCACGAGTCCATGTACACTTCATCGTTTCAGTAGTTTTTTTAACAAAAATGCGCTTGGTCTGACAAGTCAGACTGATGCACTGCTCGGCGCGGTTGGGAGAGTATCCACATTCTGCTAGCGTATACTTACTTCAGTGTAGCACACTATAGTTTGGGCGGAGTGGGAAGGTCCGGTACGTCTTAGCCCTTGAATCGTCAACTTCCCGTATCAGTATTGACGCACCAATTGATGTTCTCATGTTGCATTATCACGTGATAGTTGCAGCATTGTATTGAGAATAAGAGTGTGAACCAGTGCGACGACTAGAAGAGTGCATTTGTGCATATTTACGATGCTCTAGTTGGGGCTGCGGCGCATGTTCTTCTTCATCCATCATATATCATCACTGTCTTGTATTGAGTACACTGTTGATGTGGTTAGATCTAAGGGTCGAATCGCAAGATCCTTTATCAGTCGGTGATGATAAACATTTAATGAGTTTTGTTAAACTTAGAGGGCCAGCCAGGCTTCGCTAATTTGACATCCCAGGTTTCAAAAACTCCCATTAACCATGACCTTAATCCCTAACATCTACCCTACCCTACCCTAACCCTAACCTAACGAGTCTAGGAGTCTTATACCGTTAGGCCTACCTAACCATAACCCTAGCGAGTCTAACCCTAACTCCTAACCAATACTCGCTCGACCATGGGTGTGTAACTGCTATTGTACCTAGATGATATATAACTATTTATATAATTATTATAATATATATATATTATATATATATTGAATTATAGATATATATATATTATATATTTATTGTTAGATATATAATATAAAACTATTATATAATTGATATATAGGGTGTAGGGTTTTTAACCTGGTGTTGTCATAATAGGAATGGGCCATAAT